TTCTTAAATAGCCTCGTCAGATTGAGAATTTCTTTGGGATGTCATGTATAGCGCCAAAATCGTTCTGAGATATCGAAACTATCAGCTGGTTACAACCGTTGTCTAATCAACGTTTGAGAATTTCTTCCAGTGAATGAAGCCTGTAATTACTAGCGAAGAGCATCCTTCATCGAATCTTGGCGCTACAGAATCCCGAAAAAAGAACTGTATCAAATCACAGAAACCACCTCACTTGACTATTTTCAACAACAGCATCATCTAAGATGGATAGCTCATGTAACTCGAAGAGAAAATAACGACATACTTAATATTTAAACAACGCATAATACTTCAAATAAAAGATTCGGAAGTAAAGCCCCGCCCCCTTCAGTAGTAGAAAGACCAATGACAGTTATTGGATTTGAAAAAACAATTTTCTTAGGAAATTGTCTAAGAGAGTGAATGCCTAATATTTCCTTATAAGGAAATGGCTTAATTAAATTATTTACATTATTCAGACTGTTATCCTCATCTTCATTGTTTTATTCACAACGTTTCGGCCGTTGTACACTTCAACCTTTATCTCTATATCTCTCTATATATCTGTCTATATCTCTGAGATGAGGTATTATGATTACTTGCATTATTTACATTATTCGAACTGTTATCCTCATCTTCATTTCTATATTCACAACGTCTCGGCCGTTGTACGCTCCGGCCTTTACGTTTATGTCTCTCTATATATCTATCTATATCTCTGGGATGAGGTATTATGATTACTCGCATTATCTAAATTATTAGGACTATTATCCTCATCTTTATTGCTATATTCACAACGTTTCGGCCGTTGTACGCTCCGGCCTTTATGTCTATTTCTCTCTATATATCTTTCTATATCTCTGAAACGAGATATGATTACCTGCATTATTTACATTATTCGAACTGTTATCCTCATCTTCATTTCTATATTCACATCATTTCGGCCGTTCTACACTCCGGCCTTTATATCTATGTCTCTTTATATATCTGTCTATATCTGAGATGAGGTATTCTGATTACTTGCCTTATTTACATTATTCGGACTGTTATCCTCATCTTCATTGACATATTCACAACGTTTCGGCCGTTATATGCTCCGGCCTTTATGTCTATGTCTCTCTATATATCTGTCTATATAATATATCTATATGATTACTTGCATTATTTACATTATTCGACCTGTTATCTTTATCTTCGTTACCGTATTCACGACGTTTCGAGCGTTGTACGATTCGGCCATCAAAATGTTATTAGAATTTTGAACCGAACACATTATTTATGAAGATAACATTCCGAATAATGAAAATAATAATCATAATACCTCATGTCGGAGATTAAGGGGGAAACGGCTAATATTACCATTGTCAATAGAGATGAGGAAAAGAGATTGTAAACTTTGGTCCCAGCCAAATAACCAGGGAGTGAAGCAAACCATAACTCTATTCGTACTAACAGTTCGCTCAATAAATACCGAATGTTTTGTTATAAACATTAGAGATTAGAACAGATTTGTTTACATATAAAGAGACGGTTTAGTACCAATCCTATGTGACGAGACAACTCAACACCGCCGACTGCGCACCGGGATAACTCCGACAACTCAGGGCTAGAAAAGCGTTCAAAATATTTTAATATTTCGATTTACTTTATAAAAAATAAATTGGCTCATATTTTAGATAATGCTTTTTAAATGACTTATTTGAAGAAAAATATTCACTGATTAAGATTTTAATCCTTAATATTATGTTTTTCTCGCGCTGAGTTGTCTCGGTACTGAGTTGTCAGTCCTGACATGTCCCGGCGCTTAGATGGCGGTATTCAGTCAGCGGTGTTGAGTCGGCGGTGTTGAGTCAGCGGTGTGAGTCGGCGGTGTTGAGTTGTCTCGCAACTACAATAACATGACAATTGCTATTACGTTTTATTTTTGTTCATTTCCTTCCATTCATTAACGGAAACAAGTCGCTAGAAAAGCGCTAAATTTTCGTGCATTAAACTCTGTGCCGACGTTTAAAATGTGGAGCAGATAAATGCGTAAAAATGAATGGGCAATAATAACAGGGTCTTTTATATAATAAATTAATATATTTCTATTAAACTTTATACACAGATAGGCACATATATCAGAAATCACTCATCATTGTCAGCTACCACTTTCTCCAGCCGGGAACGGAAGCTGGAGCAATCCTTACCAACAGTGTCCCTATCCATATTCACCATAGCGCCCCTGTCAACTGTTTTGAAAACGTCCTTGGTGTTATAAGGCCTGCTTCTCACCTACCTCTCGAAGACGCCCCACGCAAAATAGATGAAAGATTGTGGTCTGACGGTGAGAGGGGGCATAATCCAGTGACCAATGGTACTGTGAGCATAAGGCGTATTCCAAGCATATGAAGAATTTATTATACTGTATCAATTTTATAAAATGTTTTAATGCAACATTTTCATTAATTTTAATCATTTTTCAAATTTTTATATCTGACAAAAAAGGAACAGAAAAAACATTTTAACATAAAAATTGGACAGGAACAAGAAAAATTAATTTCCCTTTCAAGAAAATGACAGACACTGAAAAATAGAAACCTTATACATAGTTTGGCGTTGATAAATCCCCACAAAATTAATGGATAATAAAAACACCATTTTTTTATCTAACAAATTATTATATTTCAGTTAAACTTTATACGCAGTTATCCACATATATAAGGTACAAAAATCACTCGATACGGTCACCATTGGCAGCCACCTCTTTATCCAGGTGAGACCAGAAGTTGATGCAGGCCTTAGCTATAGCATCCCCGTTCATGCTGGCCATATCATCACTGAGAGCTGCCTTGAAAGCCCCTTTTGTGTTGTAGAGCTTGCTGTTCACCTTCCTCTCCAAGACGCCTGGCACTACCATCGAAAAGATTGCAGCCTGGTGATGAGAATTGGAGCATAAATCAGGCGACCAGTGGTATGGTGAGTAAGACACTGTCAACGTCGACGACAAACTCGCGCGTCCTAGATGCGCCAAAGAACTTCTTATGACTCTTGCGTTCTGGCCTGAAATTGTTCTTGTCGCCTGAGATCCAATATAAATTTACAAGGTCTTAGAGAATGGTTTTAGGGTATTTAAACCACTCATTGATTTCCTTGGCTTTCTTGGCCGGTGCGAAGGCTCTCCACAACAGCAGCCCGACAATCGTATTTTGAAGACATATATACTACGAAGCACCTCGTCCATCAATGGCCAGACACATACTGATGTACAGTACTTTCTAATAGCGCTCTCGAAACCTCGCTACCGAATGATGTCACGGCTCTGTTGCCATATAGAAAATTCAGATTTATCTGCGCCACACTATAGTTGGTGTTTCGGAAGAAAAGAACTCTAAATGATATCCTGGTATGCATGACTCTGGGTGATATTTCACCATCACACTTATATGTAAAGTGTCATATAGAAAGAAAATGAATAACTACCGACACTGAGGTTCGATCGTGAAACTATGGACCTGTGAATATATGTTTTCTGCCAGGTGTATAAATAGTTGTGTCAGGCTACTGACTGGAGTGATTATTGAGTGAAACTATCCAGTCGAATTAGTGTGAACTATTGTGCGTCGATGATTTGGGTTTTAATTTAGGATTTACCGGACGTTAAGCCGAGTCGCGCTACAAACAAGGTTTTCATTGAAGTGGTTAATTATCTTTGGTTGACTTTTTCTTCTTTGTTCTTGCTAAGTATTTATTTGCGGTTGTAATTAAATACTGTTTCATCTTAATATTGAAGTCTTCAGTTATATTTAATCATTTACGGCTACTGTACGTCACAAAATATATATTTTTTACTGGAATAACTTTTTTCCTTCTTTTTTTTTAAATACAGTTCACCCTCGTACAAGGCAGTAAAGCCACTAAGACACAAGGGCTTACTTAGTGTGGAATATTTAGAAATATAAATATTACTAATGGCCTAAAACAAAAAGAGTAATCAGGAGGACAGTAAATAGCGATTGACATTGCATTTAAATTTTTAAAGATTAAAGTTTGCTTGAAAGCATGGAATCGAATGTTGAGTTACAGAAGCAATGTGCGAGAAACGAAACTGTTAGTATAGAACTTACGGTTACATCAATGCAGTTCAACTGCAAATGGATGAGATCTCAACGCCAGACCAGGACCAATAATATCACGGATTCATTCTCTGGATTTTATCAAAGAGATCAAGCTAAACAGCATGGACGAATGGTAGACTTATAGATATGTCAGATAGATCCCGTAGAGAAGAATATTGCTGATTCTTCTTTGAATCTTACCAAGGAGATGAAGGTAAATACCTTGGGACACCGGCCCATATATGGACACCGGCCCATAGCTATATTCTAAGCAGGGACGAATGGTAGACTTATAGATATGTCAGATAGATCCCGTAGAGAAGAATATTGCTGATTCTTCTTTGAATCTTACCAAGGAGATGAAGGTAAATACCAGGGACACCGGCCCATATATGGCAGCTATATTCTAAGCATGGACGAATGGTAGACTTATAGATATGTCAGATAGATCCCGTAGAGAAGAATATTGCTGATTCTTCTTTGAATCTTACCAAGGAGATGAAGGTAAATACCTTAAAGGGACACCTTAAGGCTAATTAACCCATATGGGAAGATGGCAGGTTGGATATTCTAAGCATGGACGCTTTCATTAGTTCCACTTTGTGCCATGTTTGATGCATCCGGCGTCAGTTTATCAGAACCCTTTATCTCCTGGGGTTAATTTCCCTCATGTTTGAATGTCAGTTCTCAGTTGCCTTAACCGATATATATGAGGTGATAAATATAACAACAATGATGAGGAAAATAGTCCAAATAATATACATAATGTGCATAATACCTCATCTCAGAAATATAGACAGATAACGAACCCAACTGGGATTTGAACTCGGCTCTCCGATTGACAATTCCGTGCCAATAAATATTACACCACCCACACATACAAAGTTACAACACGTAGTATTCACAAGCAGTCACCCATCTAGGTACTAACCAGGCTCGAAGTTGCTTACCATCGGTGATCGTATGTGATCTAGCTGTAAGACTAGCTTGCATGCTCCATACTCACCAAACTTGATTCTATCGGATATTTTCTTGATTGCGTACCTTAAAAAGAGTTTGAAATGGATGTAATTTACAAATGATCTCAAAACGGTAATACAGTCAATAGTTTAATGACCAGAATTTTTGGGGAAGAGAGGGGTTAAAGAAGATTGAGAAACCATTTGCCAAATGTGTAAAACGTCGGGTTGAATAGGTCGAATAACAGCAGGTATTTCTTATGTCTCGAGGCGAATCTCTTCGCGTAGCATTACAAATTTTCAAAAAGAAGATTTACGCACGTCTGCTGTCTGCGACATACTGCGAGATAGACTACATGACCAAAGACAATTGGTCTAATGTAATCAATCTTTGTATGATTTGTTTGACACGTATTGGAAAGAATGTGTCCAACAAAACAAATGATACGTTTTCTTGTTTATGAACGCATTTATTTCCCGGTGTTGTTTTTGCCAAAATCCGTCAAGAACTGATTGATAATGGTCAGGAAAATCGCGTAGGTTACAAACAGATTTGATAATATGTTCCTCGAACTACAGACAATAGCATAAATAATCCTTCCCCTTCTATTCCAGTAGTTTACTCACAAGGTCCCAAGAGTGATAAGGGCATTTTTTTAAATCATTTAGCACGAAACCAGACGATAATGCCACTAAGACGCAAGTTGAGTGGAAGAGAATGAGAAAACATTAGCGAGGAGAAGTGAAGAAAGGACAATAATGAAATAGGAATCAAGAACATAGAAGATGGTGGTTGATGTTGCAGTTAATTTTTTTAAGATTGTAGATGACAGGGAAGCAAGGAATCACAAAGTATATCTCTAGGTTAAAATTGCGAGAAAAGAAATTATTACACTAGATCTGACGGTTGAATCTAGCTAATTGAAAAGTCCAAATAGATCGTTCGATTTAGTCCATATATTTATATGTGTGCCTGTGTGTGTAAGAACTCAGATACATTATATATCTGTGAAGACAATATAACGAAAAGAAAAGATAAAATAAAACGTTTTATGCCAACGCGTTTCGTTCCTTTAAAAAACTTAAGAAACTCAAACTTTTCAAGACAATTGAAACAGGAGATAACTGACAACTGACATCCATTAAACTTGACACGTGGAACTAGAACATTCTACCCCATTGAGCGAAATAAAGAGTTAAGTTCGATATTCCAACCACCTGAAAAAGCCTGGATCGTACAACGGCCGAAACGTTGTAATAAATATGGCGACAAAGATAAGGACAATAGCCCGAATAATGTAAATAGTGTACATAATGCCTCATCTCAGAAATATAGACAGATACTGAAAGGCCGAAACGTTGTAATAAATATGGCAACAAAGATGAGGACAATAGTCCGAATAATGTAAATAGTGTATATAACACCTCATTTCAGAAATATAGACATATACTGAAGGACCGAAACGTTGTAATAAATATGGCGACAAAGATGAGGACAATAGTCCGAATAATGTAAATAATGTACATAATATTTCATCTCAGAAATATAGGCAGATACTGAAAGGCTGAAACGTTGTAATAAATATGGCAACAAAGATGAGGACAATAGTCCGAATAATGTAAATAGTGTACATAACACTTCATCTCAGAAATATAGACAGCTATTTGTGTTCTTATAATTTTTTTTTCTGTTATGGACATAAATTATGTAAAAATTGTCCGAATTCTCTGTATGTTCAAGCGCTATCGGCTATTCATTTAGCTATTATCAAGGAGAATTATATATTTACTTTTCACTAAATGTATGCAAGTTTTTAATACATGTTACAATAATGTTTTATTTTCGTAACACGCAACATGTAACTCTAGATACATACATAAGAAATCCCTGCATTCCGTTAAGAGTAAAAATAAGATATTCCTTGATAATGCCTAAAAAATAATCAAAAACAATTGGACAAACAGAATATTCGGACAATTTCTATATTATTCATTTCAGGAAAGGACAAAATTACAAGAACGCAAATAAAATTGAAGAAAAAATAATTCAGTCGTTTTTTAAAGAAACTAGTGTAAAAGAGGAGATGCTGACCAAATTATATATATATATATATATATATATATATATATATATATATATATATATATATATATATATATATGTAGATGGATAGATAGATATAAAAGTGAATACTGAAGTCAACACTCAGAGGCGACAGGCTGTTTCACGCTAGACGCTATCATCACGCTGCGATTGTTGGGTTTTTTCTCGACTATTTATATATATGGGTCAGTGCATTTTGCGTCTAGCATGAAAGAGCCTGTCGCCTCTGAATGTTGACTTCCGTGTTCACTTTTATATTTAGATACGCTGATATTGACTAATTTATCCCATAAATATAGCACACCTTAAAACTATATTTCTTCATATATATATATATATATATATATATATATATATATATATATATATATATATATATATATATATATATATATATATATATATATATATAGACATTTTATGTTTATACATACAGGACAGGATTCATAGAAGACAGAAATTTAAAGACAGTAAATTCGACCTTGCTAACCGAACGCGCCTCTGTGGCCAAATCGGTAAAGGCATGTCAAGCTAAATGACGGTTCCGTATAGGATACAGGTTCGAATCCTGTCGGAGGGCGAATATTTTCCGTGAAAATTTATTGAACATTCAAGCCGTTAAATGTTGTTTAATACTGTTTATTATAAAACAGAGCATTTACTTAAATATTTGTATCTATAAAAATAATGTATTAAAATAATTGTCGGACTTTGTGTGTGTTAATCTAATTAGACCACACGTGTTTATAGTTTTGATATTGCAGTCAAACTCAATTCTATTTATACCGAACTTTTTTTTTCACAACATCGACCTTCTCTATTTTTTTTAAAAATCAAACTCTGCAAAGACCAGATTACATAATGATCCAATATCTTCTTGATACAGTTAAGACTGAGATTTTAACAGAAAATCTATGAACATTCTTTTCCTATTCACCAAAGAGATTACTACCTAAGTTGCCCTAAATAGAGCAGTACTTTTTTGAACAAATCGTTCGATTCTCAACAAGTATAAAACTTTCGCAGCAGACCAATATGTAGAGTTGACCTAAGGTTAATCTCGGCCGCTCAATGCACAAAATTACGTGGCCTCACAGGTGCATCCGGTTTGGGATGAGTGGGCACGGCAGACATAAAAGAGATGTAAACAACACCACGAAAGACAGTCTCTCAGACATCTCAGACGAGATTGAAAGGTTTAAGTATCTGATGAGGAACTACATACACACGCTGACCAAAAGAGAGGAACAAACTATATTCGAGTGACATGTTATCATTTAACCGACTTTGTTAGAAAATACCCACTTCTTATCCCTTGTTACATTTTGCTTTAAAATTAGAATACTTTCATAATGTTTAAATAGAAAATCAAACATGGTAATTTTAGGTTAGTTGGATTTTCCGTTTAACTCATGTAGAAGCTACACATTAAAAAGCCTAACATAAACAAGCTAGTGTAAATTATTTTCATTGTTGCATTTCACTATACTATAATTGTATATAATTCTCAAGTAATGCATTTTTTGATGTCTACTACCCACAATTTGTTTACTGCAACCTGAAAAATGCAGACTTAAAAAAGATTTTTTGAGAAACATTAGTCACAATTCACTGTTTCTAATGCTTACTAGTGTTAAAAACAGATCGAACAAAACGTTAATAAATGTGTATGTTTATTTATCGTTTAATCAAAACGAAGGAAAATCTCGTTAGAAACAAAGAGAACTAAACCGGTGCGTAGTATCAGTCCTCCAATATGGTAGTGAATACCGAAGCAGTTTCCTGAAGAAGAGACTTGAAACCTGAGAAATTTGGTTCTACAGCAGAATGCTGAGATTATCATGCATCGAATATCTGAGTTTTAAGAAATGGAAACAAAAAAAACAAAAAAAAGGTTATACTTAACATCAGGAAGAGACAGTTGAACTTTCTAAGAAACATAATGAGGAAAATAGGCTTGGAAAATCTGAACTCACAAGACAGATTGAAGGTAAGAGGGACATAAAAAAAAAGCTGTCAACCTACTTAGCGAACTTGAGTAAATCGATCGTGGAACAAGGTTTAGGGGAGAAAACAAAGAGACAAAATTTATTAAGTTACAAAGGACAAGAAATTGTGGAGAGTCATGATCGCCAAGGTCTTGAAGGGACACGTCACATAGAGAAGAAGAATATCTGTCTTATTCGCTGTAATGTTCTTTTAGATTTTGCGTTGAACTCATGTGGAAGCTACACTTTAAAGAGACTATCATAAACAATCTAGTTTCATTTTTTGATTTCGCTGCACGTTGGCTGGTCCCTGCGCTGTAAAATTCTTTGATCGCTATGACCCACAATTTGTTTATGGAAACTTGAACAATGTAGACATAAAAGATATTTACAACTCAACGCTAATGCTACCTATCGACAAAGCAGATCGAATTAAGCGTTAATAAATTCTTACATTTAGTTATCGTTTAATTAACTGTTAAATAAAACAGAAGATCTTTTATTCGCTGTAATATTCGCTGGAGAAAAAACACATTGAGATATTTAAATTTGTTTATTGTGTATACTTGTATCGATCTGAACAAGAGAAGTCAATAAAACAATTAACCAAGTGAAAATATATTGTTTGCTTAGAGACTGCATTTCGTCAAGTTTTACATTAGTGCAGCAAAATTATATATTCTCTGGGAGTGTATTAACATCCTAACAATGGGTACTAAAATCAATTGATTAATGCCTAGCACAAAACATAGATAGATCGATATATAGATAGATAGATCTGTTTATATAGATTGCAAGACCAATTATTAACAGTTCGTGTGTCAATGTGTACGTAAATGAAAACATTCTTCGATCTTTCATCCCAGACAAGGTTATGTTTGTTTCTAGCAAGATCACTAAAGTTGGAGATGACAGTAAGAAAC